ACCAGCATCATACCCAGAGGCTCAGGAGTGCTACCTCGACCAAAAGAGGCACCTTGACCGAAAGAGACCTGGGGGTCTTGATTGACCACAAGATGAACATGAGCCACCAATGCAATACCGTAGCCAGAAAAGCAAACCAAACTCTGGCGTGCATCCACTGATGCATCTCAAGCAAAACCAGGGAAGTCATCCTCCCACTTCACTTGGCCTTAGTGAGGCGCCCCAGCTGGAGTTCTGCATCCGGTTTTGGGCCCCCCACTTCAGGATGGATGCGGATAAGATTGAGAGAGACCAAAGGAGAGCCACCTGCATGATCCAAGGCCAAGAGAGCAAGCCTTATGAGGAGAAGCTGAGGGACATGGGACTCTTCAGCCTGGAGAAGAGAAGGCTCAGGGGGGACTTGGTGGCAGCCTATAAGTATATAAGGAGTCTGCCCCAAGATCTGGGAGATCAGTTGTTCACCAGGGCTCCCCAAGGGATAACAAGGTCTAACGGCCACAAACTTATGGAAGGCCGATGTAGACTGGACATAAGAAAAAACTTCTTTACGGTCCGAGTGTCCAGGGTCTGGAGCAGACTGCCCACCAGAGGTGGTGCAAGCACCTACTCTGGACTCATTCAAAAGGTGCTTGAATGCACCTGAGATCATTTAACCCCGGCAGACTTCCTGCCTATGGCAGGGGGCTGGACTCGATCGTGCCAGGTCCCTTCCAGCCCCTAATGTCTATGAAATCTATGACCGACAATCCCCACCCATTAGGAAAGACTGGGCCGCTGTGAAAGCCAGGGCTGGCTGCACGTTTCTTCCTTTCCAATCTCCCTGCGTTCTCCTCGGCAGCTACACATCCTTACCCTGAGTTTGGCGCAAGTGTCTCTGTGGAATAAAAGGATTTTTTTTTTGCCTTGTTTTAAAGAGATAAGATAATCACGCTGGGATTTTAGTAGGCAAGATATTGGGTGTTATGTGCAGAAGATTTATTAAGAGCTGGAGCATGAAGAAGAGAAAAGAGAAGAAGCTATAATCTCTCTTTCTCTCATGCGCACACATATTCATTTCAGATACATACTCCTGCAGCAACAGAAGAGCCCCTCATTTTCCAGATATCTCCTGCCCTCTAATTATATATTACATTCATTCTCCTCTGCCTAATATTGGGCTCTAGCCAGCTTTTCCTCCCCACTTCTACTTCTTGGAATTAACCCATTGAGGCAGGGAGAAGTGTTCTAGTTAAGTCTGACACTCGATTCTTCTCCCTTTTATTTTCCATTCTAGACTCGCCATTAACACTGTCAGAGCCAAACTACACTCCCTCCCAAGTGCTAGCTACTCCACAGACAACACTGGGAAACATCCTCCTCCTACACTGATGTTTCTTGGGGAGTTTGAACCTGAAAACTAAATTCAGGAGGGGCAGCCACACTGTGCCCATGTGCAACTGGGTAGTAACCACCAGACTTCACCATCACATAGGTCCTCATTCGGCAAGGTACTTAACACACGCCCAACTTGAGTCATCTCACTGAAATGTCAAGAAAGAGTTAACACAAGTGCGCCGGGATTTTTACAGGTAATTTGCTAGTAAACAGTTTGATGCAGACAAAGCCTCTTGAGAATTGTTCTTCCTCTAAGATTTCACATCCAGATGGAAAGAAAAAAAGAAAATTTTCTCATAGAATTGTCTTTTGGGAGCTGAACCATTGCAAAAATAGCACAAGGAATTTCAATGCCATCAAATCAGAACACAACATCTTGCCCTGATTTGACCTGAAAACGTTTCCAGAGCCCCATCTTACCTTGATCCTTATCCAGTTCTGAACTCGCCCCTGAGATTCACTGTAATGAAAGACAGGGACAGGTGAACCTCAAAAATTTCGAGTTCG